ACATACCCGTAAACCAGCTGCATTCCAGCAATAAATATAAAGCACAGATGAGGCAGTCAGCCAGCAGGTCCTCATGGAAGCCAGGCAGCACGGAACAGCCCTTCAGAGGCAGCCAGGGAGAGGTAGACTGGACTGGCCAGTTGAATGGAGAAAAGACAGTGATGGGTGGTTAGGAGTTCTGKATCTAAGTTTTTCACCTTCAAATCCATGCATTGAACCACTTCAAAWTGTAGGGGCTCCCAGCACAACCCACATTGTGCTGAGGATCTCTACAAGCTGCTTMAAAAAACTAAATGGGATGTGTTCTTGCCACTCAGCTCTGATCYGCACCAGCCTCTAAAGGAAACAGCCTACAGCTCTGAGTACTGCTCCTGCAGCAGGGACCTCCTCTCCCCCTAACACGAGAGCCTTTTGGGGCTCTCTTTAGGCTTCTCTGTCATTCMTTCTCACCTCTAGAAGAGGAGCTGGGGCCTGTGCCTGGACAAGCCTCCAGCTCATAGATGACAATCCCAGTGATGTAAACCTCTCCCTTCAAAAGCTCTCAAGATCCTGCAGCTCTCAGCTAGGTACATGATCTGGCACTGGATATGCCTGACCGAGACATGCAAAAGAGGTGACAAAAGGCTGATTTCCAAAATATCTCATGGCAAACACACTCTACTGTGCAATAACATTCTTCCATGCAAATCCACAGTCCTTCCAGGGTTGTGGGCTGCTCTTCCTTGTCTGAGTGCTTCACACATTCCAGCTCAGTTCAGCCCACTCCCCAGCAGCACAGGTGGGCTCCCAATGCCCACACAACCAAACTTCATAGTGGGGGACATGGTCAAACCTCCCCTCTCTCATCCATKAACTTTGTAATGAGCTGATTTGCAGGAACCTGTCCAGTAATTTTTATAAAAAGGKTCTTCTACTGCTTCTTCCGGCTCAGGTTTTAAGGCGGAAATGACTGAGAGAAAGAACCTGCCCCATCCCTTGGCAATTTGTTTCAGCAGCTAATCACTCTTGCCTTTAATTTCTTATTCATCATCATTTCTGATTTGAATTTACCAGGCAGTGGCTCTAGCTCTGCTATCACTGCTGCATTCAAAAGCACCTTCCTGCATGATTCCCATACCAGCAGTAATTCATGAATCATTTTTCCTCTGAGGTGATGGGAAATTTAATTGTAGTATCTCCCAACAAGGAAGTGTAAGATACCAACTGCAGTGAAGATGTGACAGCACAGGCATCAGAAGGGGTGGGACAAAACTGCCAAGAAAACCTGGGTCAACCAGAATACCCCCAGTACTCGCGATATYCTACCCCAATTTGTAGGATAGAATTCCACATTGATATTCACATCCTTACTCTGAATACACATAATGAATTATACCATTCAGGCATGCATTCAGACATTTATATCATACACATCTGGATGGTTTGGATCACACACATCCAGATCACTCCAAATACCTGGCCGGTCCCAGTGTTTGAGTCACTGCAGGCTGCTGTGGTCAGCTGAGGGGAGCTGATGCTCCAGGTAACCATCTCAGTGCTTTTTATGTCACCCTTTGGAGTGACAGGGAAAAAAACACCACCAACAAGCCCTGTTCTAAACAATTTCTGGCACTTGCCAGGGAGAAAGAACCAAGAACACTGCTTTATTGCAACACTGGTAGCTCAGAAAAATGCTATCCTCCACTGAACTGTACCCACAAGGCAAGCAAATGGCAGGCACAGCACCCCCAGGTCTAAGAAAGCCATATGCAGGCACACAGCAGCATTGCTTGCCAGGGCACTGAGCACTTTGCTACATGAGAAGGTGGACAATCTCAGGAACATAYGCAGCTCTGACAGGGGAAAACATGCCTTACACACAGTGATAATGAGTCCAAGGGACAAATTATGTTTTTATTCCCTCCTTACTCTCCATGAATTTCACCAGGAACTACACAGGTATTCAGTAATAAAGCTACCAGCCAGCAAGGAGACAGAAAACAATGTGCTGTATTTCAAAATAAGATCAATATCACCTCGTTGCAAAAAGGCAAAAGCTTCCTGACCAGGTATGCATCTTCCTCTCTGCTAGTTCAGTTTGCAGCTCTGCACCCTTCCTGGCTCGCAGAGCTGGACATCACACCACACCGCCAGCCCCCGGGCCAGCAGTGAGGGGTCAGGCAACATGCCCACCATCCCAGCATCTCCAGCAGTGATGCACTGAGAACAGAACAGAGGCTGCACTGAGGTTCTGGCCGAGTCACTTGCACTGCTGAACTGCTTGGCACACAGCTGCAGTGCACTGCACCACGAGTTCCTGACACCAGACTGCTAAATTCATCTACTGGGAGCAAAAGACAAACCCCCAGTAACCATGCAAGCAGCAGAAATATCTCCCACGTCACAAAAAACAGCATATTCCCATGTCTTGCCAGCACTATTGTCTGCACARACCAATGGGAAAAATATTACTATTTTTTATTTTATTTTTTGTCACACTTGTAAGTATGACTTTGCAATTCCACGTAGAGCTGCATTAGCATCAATTCTGAAAAAGCCTGTAGAAAGGCTTGTAGAAAAAGTGATATTGTAATAATGCCCTGAACACATTCAGCTGAAAGGTGCTAAACATACACAAGATGCACCTGTACCCTGAAAGTACATAGACTTTTCTTTCCCCTAGTCTTGCTCCACATCGGCTTTCCCTGACAGCAATTCCTCATTAAAAACCTCAATGAAATATATACAGCCAGAAWGCATAAGCTGCCTCTGTAAAGCATTATGATTAAAAACAGGAAGATACAGCTCAAGTCTTGCAAAGAATTAAGCACAAGTTCTAATTTTAGAAGCTAAAAATCCTTAATGAAACAAAACACTAGGCTTCGGCTGAGCAGGGGCAGAGAGGAGAGCACACCAYAACAGAGCAGCAGAAGACTTCTGCTGTCAGGACACACAACTCACCATCACCTCTGAAATCCACCAGCTCTAGCCAAACTTATATTCCAAGCATGCACTTTCACCTAGGAAGCCAACATTCCAATTTACAAACTAATTCAAACACAGGATTCCTTTCTGCAACAGATGGGCCCTGGGACGGCRGCAGGCCCGAGCCCTTCCTTACTCTGGCTGCTGCAGACGGCTCTGACGCAGGCTGGACATCAGCGAGCAGATGCAGACCATGCCAAATCCTCCAATCTGTGCACAGACAGCGAGCTGGCACTGCCATTGCTGTCCCAGTGCAGGCAGAGCCTCCCCGGGATGTGAGACACACGTGTGCATTTTACCCCAAACAGGGATGGAAGKGTTTCCACTGGCTGACAAACTGCACCTGTATCACTAATTACTTTAACRTAACTGAAAATGCACAGAGGCACCGACAGACCAATCAGAATTACAGCAATCCTAAGGTAGTTGTCATGCTCCTGACTTRGAAAGAGAGAGGGGAAAGAATAAAGTTATAAGTGCATTCCTAAAATGATGCATAGTGAATATAAAATCACTTGAAACTCCCTGGGCTGCAAGCTAACATTTATCAGAGATATGCAGCTCCCAGCACAAAAGAGCATCTTACTGCCCCACGTGCTTGGAAAACACACATATTTGTTAAGTATTTTTTTTTTAATCACAGTCGAAAGGAAATTGGATGTTTATGACACGACTAAATATCAGACTTGGACGCTTATTTATTACGGATGTCCACACTTTGGAGCTACATTTTTTTAATATCCTAATTTGCAACAATGTATATAAGTACGMTTAAAATGATCCACACTAGTGTACTGCAGTTGGTGCAAACTGSACTAGTGAGATTGCATTTCTGCTCTAGTGAAGAACCAAACACTCCCATCTCATACAGCTGTAACCATATTGTATTTTTTGTATCTAGCAATGGCTAGCATATTCTAATACACCCTCAGAAAAGCTCTTTTGTTCCAAAACAATGACTTAAATAATGCAGATTTTTTAACAAATTGGTAAAGAGGAACTAGTGCAGGGCTCACGACTCACTGTGTCTGACCAGATCCGTGGCCAGGGCAACATGTCTAAACTTGTCAACAAGGATGGGATTAAAAAGATATCTCACTGAAGGCCTGCAGCATCTCTCAGATTCAGTTTTCGGTTCTGCTGCGATTTCTCCGCATGGTATTTTAAGATGCAGCAACCAACTGAGATACAAGTCCTAAAGCACCCTCTCAATGGAAACACTTCAGTATTATTTAGGCATAAAATGAGGCCTATTAAAGTACTCAAAAATCCTAAACAACTTTTTGAGGAAAAGACGGCCTAAAAAATCCTTTGTAGAAACAGTCCATGTTACATCCAAAGAATCATCCCATTGCATTCCTCAGGCCCTCCTGATCGCAGCTCAGGACCAGGCTGCCCACGCTGAGGGTGGCCGAGGGCTGCGGGTTAAAGCTGAACTGACCAGGAGCAGGAGCAGAGCGGGCAGGGCAGGCACCAGGCCGGCTCCGCGCCCCGGCCTGCGCGCAGCGCGCATTTTCCGCGCACTTGCAGAGGGCTCGTCCAGGCCCGCACCGCGGGGACACCCCCGTCACCTCCGTGCCCCGGGGGTCTCGCCACACCGCGGGACCGTGGGCACCCATTTCTTCCTCCCCCGTCCCTCCCCGTGTCCGGCAGCCCGGGGCGGGGGGAGCCGCGGGGGATGGGCGCATCGCCCCGGGTCACTCCGAGCCGCGCCGACCCCATCGCGGCCGTGTTTGCCGTCGGACGGAGCGAGCCCGTCTCCTCCCCACCGCACGGGTCTCGGCGTGCTATTTTTAGGCCACGGGCGACCCAGCGCTTTAACAAAGATAAATAAATAACACGAAAGGCACCCTCCCCTCCCCCCATCCACGCTACCTCCGCGCCCGGGCTCCGAACTGCGCCGCGACCCTCACSCCCCGCCGGGGACCCCGATAACAACGCGGGGAGGTAGGGAAAGTAAAGGCAGAAGCAGAATAAATTAATAAATCCCCCCTGTCCCCGCACCCCGCCGCCCTCGCTGCGGCCCCGGTACTCACCGCGGCCCGCTGCGGGCAGGGGTCGGGCGGGCCGGGGCGGGGGCCGGGGCGGGGGCCGGGGCTGGGGCCGGAGCGGGAGCAGCGAGAGCAGAGCAGAGCAGAGCAGCGCGGAGCGGAGCAGAGCAGAGCGGGCCCCGCTGCCCATGTGCTCGCCCGAGCACGCGCTCGGCTCAATGGAACGTTGTGCTGGCGAGCGGCTCTGTGACGTCACCGCCCCCCGCCGCCCGCGGCCGCAGCCCGGGGCAGCGAGCAC